GTAAGTTGCCCCACTTGCCCCAAATTTCACCAGCTCCCAGGGCCTCTCCCAGGACCAAGTGGATCTCGGAGCCAGTGCTGGGGGAGAGCAGCTGCCAGGGCAGGGAGCGGTCTGCAGACGCTGGGTTCAAATGCTCAGCTGGCCCATGGGAATAGGTAGAGTTTGTGAGCGATCTCTGTGTAAAACTTGTATGCCGCGGAAGATGCATTTATTGGGGCTTTTGTATCCCTGTTGGCTTCCTGGGCGCTGAGCCCTCCCAGAGCAGAACTAGTTCAGTGTCAGTGCTGCCCTGCGAGGGGGCGGTACTCCCAACTCTGTGCCTTCCCTGGGCACAGAGGATCTGGCCGAGCAGGACAGGGTGGAGGGGACCCCAGAGGGCAGGAAGGCAGATGTCAGTGGCATGATCCACACGCCGAGGGAAAACCCCCAAGGGGACTTTTGTGATCCAACCCAGTCCAGCAACCTTCCAAGAAGACCACTTCAATGGTCTCATCTTTGCTTGGATGTCATCAGCACGGCAAATATACCGGCTATGTCGTGAAACACTTTGCTCTCAAGAATCTCAGCGGCACCCGGAGCTGTGTGGCGTTGCCCTTTTAAATGATTCATTCTTTCTGTCGTGTCTCCCTTTTGGACCAATGACCGTTGACTTTCTAGGTGGGTTTTTATTCATAGGTACGTGTAAAATATTTCCGCTCTTATAAACGTTGTTGACGGTACCAGCAGCCCCCAGCTTCCTGGCACGAGACGGTTCCATCCGCTTTTATTGCTCGCCCCGCCAAGTGGCAATGAAAGGCAATTCAGCACCTGCCAGGTTTCGGGATGATGTGTCAGGATTCTTTGCTCTAGTCCTGACCTCCACCTCGCACCGATGTCTTTCACGCCCTCCCCTTCCCATGCACCGTTCTCAAATGTTCTCTTCAGTGGTAGCTCCCAGACAGAGAGCTTGGAGCAAGCACACACCCGGGTGTGTGTGTGATTGTGTGTGTGAGACTCACAGGTCCGACAAACACAGCGAATCGAGAGCGGGCTGTTCTCCGCTATCCCTGTGGCACATGCACAGTAGTGACTGGCAAAGTCAGACAGGTGACAAAGCCTCGGCGATTATTAGTGGTGTTAGAGACGCTGGATCTGCTGGCCAAGCCACAGGCTGGGGGAGTGGACTGGGCTCTAGTGTGTTGTGTTGTAACTGCCCCGTGCAGACCTTGCTGGTGTGCTCTAAAAGGCAACATGTGCCAGCAGGCTGCACAGGGAGCAGCTCGGGCTCTTACAATCCCTCCAGACTGGGATGCGGGCAGTGTTCCCTCTAATTTTGCCCATCCCTGTGCAGAATAAATTTTGTTCTGTGCACCAAGGCATGTGCGGCTGTGCACCACCAGGAGAAAAACATGCCGCTGGCAGTGGGCGCTCTGCGAATCACCTGAGCAGCCCCTGAATCTCTCCTAGGTGGCCGCCCAAGCGCTCAGCTTACAGGGAACTCCGGACATGGGTGGCAAATCCCGTGCCACCCGTACCCTGGAGCAGAGTGAACCTGGGGCCCTGGAGGGGTGAGGCCAGGGAGACAAACAATCATGGGCGGAGTCACCCCCCACCGTCCCCATATTCCTTCCAGCACCCCCCATATAAATTGCCCCACTTGCCCCAAATTTCACCAGCTCCCAGGGCCTCTCCCAGGACCAAGTGGATCTCGGAGCCAGTGCTGGGGGAGAGCAGCTGCCAGGGCAGGGAGCGGTCTGCAGACGCTGGGTTCAAATGCTCAGCTGGCCCATAGGAATAGGTAGGAGCCTTCTGGCCTGCAAAGCAGGATAGAAAATCAGGCCCAGAGGAGCGGTGGGAAGGCAACACCAGAGCACAAGGATGTGGTGTAGGAAGCCCAGGCTCAGTTCCTCGGTCTGCCACAGATGTCCTCTGTGACCTTTGGCACCTCACTCAGGGTATGTCTACACTACAGCGCTAATTCGAACTAACTTAGTTCGAGTTAGTTAATTCGAACTCAGCTAATTCGAATTAGCGCAGCTAGACTTAAAAAGTAGTTCGAATTAGCATTTTGCTAATTCGAACTAGCATGTCCACACTGAGTGGACCCTGAACCGGGGTTAAGGATGGCCGGAAGCAGTGCCGGCAGGGCATCAGATGAGAACTTAGAGCGTGGAGCTGCTGTCTCAGGCTAGCCGAGGGCTGCGCTTAAAGGGACCCGACCCCCACCCCGGACAGACAGTTATCAGGGGTGCCCCGCTTGCAAACCAGTCCTGGCTTGGAGTGCCC